TGAGCAAGAAAATATTAAGTGTGAGTTCTTGCATTTGAAAGACAAGTACAATATTTCTAATAAAGGAATTAACGCCATAGATAAATTCCTTTACAGTCAAGGGTCCTATCCAGTTAAAATGCTTGTATGTATCTCTGCAGCCGCACGGAACGACAAATAAAATGGGTCTATGTTCGTAGTTTGATGGCATACAGCCATGAAACTTTTTCCGTAGAGATATTCGACTATGGAGAATCAGAAAACGACTACGAGCGCCATGTAGAATCGGTTCTATTGGTCCAAAACTTCATCTGAGCCTGATTGCATGATAATGATATTTTCTTGAGTCTAGGGTCTTCCAAGATGGTTGTCTGTGTGTATGCGTAAAATACGGGAAAATGACTGTCATGTATTTGTTGTATTGGAGATAGATATCGCCAGAAATCAGTCAGTTTTGACAACATAAAAGAGTCTCTATGAATAATAAAACTTACAGAATATAGATAGTCTAAGATGGAGAATTAATTAGGAACACTTCCAGCTTTATTGGGATCTTCAGAGGGTGTTCAGAAAACTTTTTAACTTTATATTACATTATGCGGTTTTTGCATGGAATGAGAAAGGTTTACAACATTTCTTAGCTATCCTGGGTGCGACCGCCGACCGAAGGAAGGCGTGAGCATCGTTCTGAATTCAGAAATTTTTTCAGACCTCTGAGGATCTTTGGAGAGTCTAGAGAAAACTTTTAAGATTTATACTAGATTACGAAACTTATGGTTGAAATCAAAGAAAAAATCATAACGTATTTTAGATAGTCTCTTATTAAGAAATCAAGTACTGGGCATATACCTCATGTATTTCTTGCCTTGCCTTGCAAGAGCAATGATGGTCCTCAAAACTGTTTAGTACTTGCTGCGTGGTACTTACTGTAATAGTACTTTCTGCTGCGTGTTGAGAATGTTCTTCAGAAAGAAATGTGAACAAGAAAGATAATCAGTTTATTCGGTAGAAATGATTTAATAATGGCGATTCCTTTCCAGCCAAGGGATAACTGAATCAGAATGATGAACGTTACTTATTTTTTAAAAAGCATCAAAAGCTTTTTCTAATTCATAATGTCCGAAAAACTAGGAAGGAACTCAATCGAAAATTTCCTATAGTATGTGTGGTAGATGGACCATACATTCAATTCAAGTATACATTAAAAGTTCCATTATTCCCTTGGCGGTAGTCAGGGTCATATAAACTACAATGTTTGTATGTCCATACGAAGAAATCAAAAATTTTAAAAAATTGATTTCTCGTTTGCCAAAAAGTTTTGTTGAACTTGATTGGATGGAAAATTCATGGAACAGGTACTCGACTGTACTTTTAATCACATGAAAAAACAACATTTTAAGAGTTTTAAATAATATGACTCAGTTTTGACCGCACTATACTATGGAAGTCTGACCTGCTGGACCGATCCACTATCGTAAGAAATCAGTCGATTCTGAGCTGAGCTAGTGCAGTGAAACGATTCATCTTTAAGCAGTATGCGCTTAAATACTACGTTTATCACTTGGGATGAATTTTTGTGGACTCTTGTTGCCGACGCTTTTTATACTTTGCTTTTACGTGGATGTTTTCTAGTGGGCGCTTTTTTACATGCTTTTTTCTTGCCTTGTATCTATGTGTCTAACGCAGAAACCTTCCCATGTGTTCAGTCGCTTATTCTTTAAAGCATACACGCTTAGTTAGTTTAATAATAAAGTTTAAACTAACTAAGCGTGTATGCTTTAAAGAATAAGCGACTGAACACATGGGAAGGTTTCTGCGTGGGGTACACGCTTGTGGGTACTCTTTGACGCTGATCACGAATCTGATATCCGTTTTTGCTACTAGATCTTTCTGATGTGGGCCTCTGAAATACGGGTGTCCAAAAGACCACTATGAACTCCCAGCTGAACATATTTTGTCCGATTGTACGGCACGTTGAATTACTACCTGTGTGGGAAAATGCTAAGAACCAACGCACAAGTTTTCGCAGAGATAGAAAAATTTTAGGGTTCAGATACCTGAAATAGTTTGGTTCCGTACTGCAATAGAAGTAAAACTTTTCTATTTGCGTAAAATCTGGCAGTGCCAAAATATGTTCAGTTGGAAGTTCATAGTGCGCTTTGAGTATCAGCACTTATACTGCTTCAGCAGCTCCTTTGTATGGTATATTAAACGCTGATGTTAACTCTGTGAATGTAGGAAACACAAAGTCAAAGTTGCTTCATTATAAAAGGCGTCAACACGTTACATCCCTAAACAGGCATGTAGAATATAACTTTTTTTGCGAAGAAACATGGGATTCTATGTAGCTTTTTACGGTTTCCATACGGCAGGAGTGTTGAAATTTTAGCGGCTGCTATGTCCGTATCAACTGAGCGGACCTAAACGAATGTACCCGAACATAAAGCTAAACAGTTTTCTGGACAGTCCCTGAAGTCATCTCTTTGAATATTTTCTCCCTTGTGTAAAAAATAATTTTCTACTTCTCCCTCTTGTCATTCGCTTATCTATAGAATATCTGGCAGCCATTTTTCCGTATTTTGCGCGCACACACACACAGACAACCATTTTGTAAGATCCTAACTAAAGTCAAGGGAATGACTCAAGAAACCCGAAACTAAATTGGAAAAAATATGCTTATACGAAGAAGGGTAAGAATCGTTTGCTTTGTTTTAGCTTGAATTAGGCTCAAAGAGGTATGCAACAATCTGATAGTTCGGTCACTGAACTGCTCGTTCCCAGACCTAATCGGAAGCGAGTAGTTATATGATTGCAACAAACCTTTTTTTTATTAAAATCAAGTAAAAAGGACTCAAGAAATCCGAAACTAAATTGAAATATGCTTAGACGATGAAGGATAATAATCGTCTGGTTTGTTTTAGCTTGAATCAGTCTCAAAGAGGTATGCAACAATCTAATAGTTCGGTCACCGAATCAGTGTTTTTAATACGAATCTTAAATAAAGTGGGTTTCCACAGTTTACCACTACATTTTCCATGTGTTCCCTGCTAAAAGCAGAGTGAAAATCGAATTATCAAAGTGGAAACCCATTGCTCTCGCTTGACGCATCAATCATTAAAAACACTGCACCGAACTGCTCATTCCCGAACCTAATCGGAAGCGAGTAGTTCGGTGCCAATCACCAAACGTATTCGGTAGTAGATCCCAAATATGATAATTTACATTTTTTTTATCGTAGATATCCGCGTGCGCTCTGTATAGGAACTATTAAGATAAACTAGTACAAGCCTTCGCAGAATCTATTGTTATTGAAATTAGGGCTTCAACTTTCCATCCGCTTTATTCTTATACAGTGAAATAAAACAAGTCTCAGGTTCATTCATTCGAAATGACTATAAGAGAAATCCATATTGTTCGAGTTTTGAAAAAGTAAACTATGAAAAAAAAGTAATGGAGTCCAAATCGATTTAGGTGCGCAAAATGGAATAAATCGTAAAGAAGAAAACCTTAAGCTCATTCTCTAGTAGTTAGGAATAAGAAGCACCATGGTTGTCTTTTTATTCAGATCTTAGCTTATCCATTTCAGGAAAAAAGTCCTTTTCTCTCGAATTCATCTGGCTTAGTCTAAACATTTCCCAACAAAGAAGGATTTTGTGAACAGTTATTTCTCAATAATCTTGATTTCAGCTGAAAAAAAGCAAACAGTTGACTATCAATAGTGTAGAAACTTTTACTAACAGCCGATGACGATGTGTTGTTTACAAATGTTTTTCCAAAGTGGCATCACTGCACCAATGCAGACGTCTAACTATCAAGTCGTTTTAAGTTAAGATTCTTTGTAAAATATTCAAGCATATAATTCATCTAAATTATTCATTTATATTCATAATTGAATTTCAATATGATCTACCCAGTATGTCACAATACCTTGTTCGCGTAACGTGATTTTTGTAGTTCTTAAAAGTAGCAGATTACTTCTAGATAATATTCTAAAAATCAATTAGTTTTGAATATCTTCAATTTTTAGAAATTTAAAGCTCTTATACTAATTTTGTTATTTAGATTTGACGTACACAAATTTTGTCTCCTTCTACATGAACTGGTTGTAGTAATTAGGCTTTTCGAACAATTTTTATTGTTCAAAATACAAAGAACTACAATTGAAAAACTGTTTTTTTGGGTTTCAAAGTAATGGAAATGGAAGCTTCGTAGTACTTCACCTACATTCTTTTATTTCTACAGTAACATAGAAAAATGTTCAATATGCTTTTTTGTAGAGAATGGGATGACGAATCTTTTATAAAAAAGTTAAAGCTTTGATACAGAAAATTGAGAGAGATATTAACGAAATACTGAGACACCGTCATTCTTTCTGCTTCACCCGTTATTTTCTTTTGTTCTACGAAAGAGGTGAGTTCTTGCGCATATCGAAAAGAAAATACTCTCGTTCCTATATCATGTTGTTTTTCTCTTGACATGACTTTTTTCCTATCTATATGTCGTTCACAAATAATTCATAGCTTCGAATATACACTTTGACATTAAAAAGCACAGTTTGTGCAGCTATGTAGTCGATATTCACTGGTAAAATTGACTCTTAAATGAATTAGATATTCTGTATTTAGATTAAATCTAAAATGTGATGAATCATTCTGCTGTAGATACAGATAATGACTTGAATGTTTTCTGAAAATATTAAAAATATAGTAAAATTAGGGGCTAAATATGAATTAGACGAGAGCGATTCATTAATAAACATAAAAATTAAAATATGATGACTATCACACTTGTAAGTCTTTTGATCTTTTTTTCTTATAGAATTTCAATTTATTGATTTATTTTTGTTTAGACAATAACACAATAGAACAATTACTCGTCGAAATTTGGCGAGATATATTTGATTACATGTCACCATGCGACGTTATAAAAACATTTAAAAATCTTAATTATTGTATTATTTAGATTATTAGTCAAATTCCCATGCACATTAATTTGTCATTAAATATTACCGGTCATATATTTCAAAATTTATGTCGGAATATTCGTTCAACTGATGATTTAATTTGCGCAATGCTACTATCGAATTTATACCAGGGAGATCTCGGTTTTGGATAAAGGTATGCACCTAAACATAGAAATACTTTAACTCAAAAGAAACCATTGTAAACGTTTAAAATACCTTCGAATGGAGGTTCAAGTAGCATTTCATTCGGTATCATCTGTCTCAAATGAACGATGTAGAGATCGGCCGCCGGATTAAATACTGTATGCACTTCCATGTACGTTCCCGGCAGCATTAGAAGTTCGTCCTCTTGTTGAAAATGTGAATGAGCGCGTATATTCCGGGCATTGATGAGTTCGATGGAGAAGAGGGTTCTCTCGCCTGTATTGCCCAAACCACTCTCTAACGCATCGATCGATGTTGCGCACGACGAGAAAGCCCACCATGTCACTTGAGCTCCAGGCGAATATTCGTGACTTTTATATTTTCGCTCCCCACGCCAGGCGGTCTGCGAAGGCATGCATGGTATTTTGATCAGGGCAGTGAGAAAAAGTTTCATGTATTTGAACCACGGACGTAAGTCTTCGCGATTATCTGTCTTGAGAGTTTGATTAAGAATGGAAGAAAGACTTCTATTTCCGTCACCCCACTCCATCGTGTAGAGATGAATCGAAGCTGCTTCATCGTGAGTCAGGCCATCGGCTGGAGCATCTGGAGTACGTTCCAGAGCAACCGAAACATAAGTGGATATATCGTGAACAATGGAGGCCAACGGTGCGCATGCGTCAGCAAGCGGGAGAAGTGGCTCTTGGGCATAGCCGACGATAGGACCGAGTATTTTTGAATTTCCAGAATTTTTGGAATCTTCGATTAGTAGGCGAGAATTTGTATCCTGAACGTCTGATTCATGCTTCTCACTCATCGTGTCAAACTATCCTTTTTTTGTAAATGCTTCAATGTATTCGCTATACCGAAGATATCTTTGTTATCTAGAAACAAGAAAGGCAGACAGAAATAAAGGAATGAATAATTAGTGGGATATTGTCGATGCAGTGCATCGGAATGAACTAATTGCATAGGACGAGGTCTCTTATCAATATAGAATAGTGAAAATATGAACAGCAGAGCTACTAAAGAATGATGAGTGCTTCACAAGACACGCACGAGACTGTCTTTTATGGTATTTTTTGCTGCAATAATCATCCATCCATGGCGGTCGTGATACAGAAAAGAAATAGAGAAGCTGGCTGGTGTGTGTCTTTTTCGCCCAAATAAAATATACACATAGCAAGGGATAACAAATCGAAAACGGTATCCTTTTCTCTGACTTGCTGCAGCAAACATTGATGCCTGATGATGACAACGAGCAAGAAGAAATATCTCTGGGCTCTCTCTTTCTCCTTCACAACAGAACAAAAAAATAGGTCAAGGAATCTTGAAGGAAAGAAAACAATTTTATTCTGTACCACTGTTCGCTATAGTCATCATCTATGAAGAAGTAGCTGCCTAATAGGCGTGTAACATGAGAAAGTTTTCAATTTTTACAGTATGAAGGACCGGGCGAATTTTGATTAATCTTTGCACTTAAGGATTTTGAGCAATGCGCTTTTCTATGGCTGACTCGAAATAATTTTAAAAGTGTCGGAAATAGGATTTCCACAAAACACGGTTTCTCATACATCTATTTACAGAAAATAATTTTTTCTAAAGAAATATTTGTCTGTAAAAATATTTCAAATCAGCTGTTTTATTCAAAATTGAGTGGACTTACCAGCTTGCCATCTAGCTCCTCTCCTGTTCCTGAAAGAATATGGCATTAATCCTTCTGTAGATAATTTGAACACATTTTTCAAATCCTTTAATCGTGTTTTTCTTGAATTTACGGTTAATGTACAGTTAAAAATAGTACGGTTAAGAACAAGTTTTTTCTTATATTTTATCTTACAGAAACATGACACTCTTTTCTTCGGTATTTTCGTCATATTAATACAGAATAACAGTTACACGAGTTAAATTATGTATTAAGATGTACATTCCAATTCAATATATTTATTTATTTACATTCCTATTTATTTTATTTATCCTCTATATTTTAACATGAAAAATGCAAAATCATACTTAGGGTTATCCAAAAGTAGTGACGGAGGTACTTTATTTCCATATAGAAAGTTTGGGAAAACTTCAATCTGTTTTCAAAAGATGCGCAATTAATTCTCTACAAAATTGATATTGACTATATTCTCCAGTAATGAAATTCTAAATTCTAGAGGTCAAACACTTCGATGGAATCGAGTTCAACCACTTCCGACCGAATTTTGGAATTGTTCGTGTGTAGAATCCTCGCATATATCGGGCTCATAGAATACGACTCACCAATAGATAGTCCTTAAAACTGTCTACTGATTGCATATACTCAGATATTTTCTTTGCTACTTTCTACTCGTTGAATGGCATTTTTTCTAAAAGTCATCTTTCGAAAAATAGCCCGATTTTCCCCTTCCAGCTGTTGTCTTCAGAAAAAACATTATGAGAAAGCCATTTATAGCTCAGAAAAAGATCATTAATATAAAGTTTTATACCAAAGCGATTTACCTTTCTTCCTACCACAAAAACCGTGAACAAACATTTTTATAGGGTTAGGAAATAGTTAAGAGCCATTATGCGATAGACTCAGACAGACAGTGATTGTTGATGTCATAGAAGTAAATGTGATTTATACTAGTTGTAGGTTTATATGTAACTAGATAATCATTTTACTAGCGTCATTCAAAATTCAGTCGTTCTCGAATTACAAAAAGGACAAGAGATGGCGCTGCAAAGCGGCCTTTCTGATCAAGTTTAGAAATAAAGTTTTTTCACCTATTTTCGCGAGCTATACTTCAGAACACGGGCTACCTTTTTAGACAGTTCAACACTGCTTCGTTAGAACGTGGCTCTTGGCTTAAACGCAGAACCTCATAAGCTGATTTTTAATGCGGAAAAATGTTTATGGCTCAAGTCTTATATCAAAATGTAGGCCACACTCGGATGTATTTAGATAGCAGATCTTGGTTTCTGATCTATTCTTTTTCCTAGAATATTTCTCAAAAACCGGTTTTTCAGAAAACCCAAAGACCTCCTTAGAACACTTTTCGCCCTCTCCAGGTTGTAGCCCGTAAAATTCTGATCAAAATGAGGCGTCTCTCAGCTTTGTACGCCGTTGGTTGAACGAGATGCGAATTTCACCAAATTCTCATGGGAATCTGGATTTCCTGAATATTCTTAAACGGGACTGCTTTTGAAAGAAATTCCTGACCGTTCCTCTTTCACTATAAAAACATGGTTCTTGCGTAGATCGGTAGAGAAACGTATGGATTATTGAGAGGAAAGAGAACAAAAGTTTGTTTTTTGCTTCCTGTTATTGATTAATTAGCTCTAGTTAGCATTGATTTAAGCCACACTACTGTCTTAAAGTCCAACTTCTAAAATGAAGACTCGATGAATAAATTGAAACGATATCTCATTGAATAGAGAATAGCACGGGCTATAGAACAGGCTATCTGAAAATCTGCTTGTACCCCGCAAAAGGTTCCTAATAAGGCACAATTGTAGCCCGCACATTTGTGATTAAAATGAGACATCTCCCAGCTCTAAACGATCTTTCTTTGCAAAGTTATAGAATTTTCAAGAAAAGCCCTAAATGTTCATTGTCAGCTCAAAACTACAGAAATAAGAAGAAAATAATTTAAGGCTTTTCTTGAAAATTCTATAGTTTTGCACAGAAAGGTCTTGTAGAGCTGGAAGATGTCTCATTTTAATCAGAAATTTGCGGGCTACAATCATGCTTTGCTAAGAAAAGTTTTGGTATTTTTTGGAGTTTCTGAAGAACCAGTTTTCCACAAAAACGATACTTGAAGGCCTAGCAGCAGGCCTCACGTTGAATTAGAGTCCCGGCAGTACCAAGGATGTTGTGAAAGCTTATTATAATAACTTCCACAAGTTGTTTTGAACCAAGTTCGTAATCACCGCCAGAATTATGGGCATTAGACCGTGAATTTTGGCTACAAAAGAGTGCAAGTATTCCTTTCCACTCACACAATATTCTATCGAGAATTCCATCCTAGGATTAGATCATTCTGTCCGACATTCGATCAAACTTTCCAGTGCTATGTCAATGCTTTTTAAGAATTAAACCATTGGAAAATTAGTAACAATGATGGATGAGATAGAAATTTCTCCCTGTCAAACATATCATTTTCAGGTTAAACCTACCCTACAAAAAAAATTCCAGTGCGGTACTGGTAAACGTCAGTGTGGCACTGGCAGTGCATAAGCGTGCCCAGCAAGTACCGATATATTTATGCTAAAAAAGTGCCGCGCTGAAATTTATTTAATCAGTTTAATTAGTGTTTTATTATGATTGTTTATAGTGCATTTTGTATTAGAGTGCGGTACTAATTAGTACCACATTGACATGCCAAAACCATGCGGCATTGCCTCGACACTTCTCTTACGAGAAGAACAAGATGAAGTCAGAAAGACATTCGAAATATTACAATATACTCGATGTAACCAGCTAGCGGTCCTCTTCAAATCAGAAAGCTTAACCCTTTCGTTACGGGATTTTTTTTAACAATTTTTGCTTTCAACAAAAGTCTTAAATATATTTTATTGCTATATAGAGTTGTTTAGAAATGTTTTAGAGTGTGATAATCTTCAAAACAGTCTATGACACATAGTCCAACGTCACATATGTCGCATTGGTAACGTGTATCAGTACGCTTTTTCTCCCGTCTGCTTGTATGACTACAAACTACACAATATCTTTGCGCGGCTTTTCTTGTTGGTGTTGAGGGAACTAGAGATGGAAAATGACGTGGGGTGAGACGTATCGGGTTGTCTCCAATAGTTGGACGCCCGATTGGACCTTTGGGCTGACCATATCTTTCAATTATCTCTCGAATCAATTGAATTCGAAAATCGCCAAATGGAATCGTCTTGCTGTGCTTTAGTTTGAATAGTATATAAGCGTTCAATACTGATAAATCCATGAGATGGAAGAAAACTTTCCTATACCATTTGACGGTTTTTCGTACGGATTCTACAAAACTGATCTGTATATATGTCTTATCCACAGCACCCATGTTTTGATTGTAATCGACGACACACTCTGGTTTTTTAATTACTTGTTGAGTCTTCCAATCACGTTTTTTTGTTTGTACCATTCTCGGTTTGTGAAGTGTAG